TTTTAAATTTCATGAATACTGAGGGTCAAATAACCAGGTGGATACAGAGACTTCAGGAATATGACATCACTATCCGTCATCGTAAGGGATCATCACACGGAAACGCTGACATCCTGTCTAGAAGACCTTGCCCAGAAAGCTGCTGACATTGTTCCAGGGTGGAAATGAAATATGAGATGCTTAATCCAGTTGTACGACAAATTACAGCATCACCATCGGTTGATCGAGACCCGTGGAGTGATGATGCAGTCAGGAAAGACCAGCAGGAAGACTGCGACATTAAACCCATAATTGATTTAATGGAGTCATCGAACAGAAAACCTACATGTGAGGACATTTCTATCTATAGTCCTACAACAAAACAATACTGGGCACTCTACTATTCACTTCACATTCGAAACGGCGTCTTATACTGGAAATTTGAATCGAATGATGGGAAGACTTTCCGATGGCAAATCATACTTCCAAAAGCCCGAATTCCTGATATCCTTAAAGAGCTACATAACAACTTAACAGGAGGACACTTTGGAATAATGAAGACCTTGCAGAAAGTTCGTGAGTGCTTTTACTGGAATAATGCTAAGGATGACGTGCAAAAGTGGTGCCGATCTTGCGATGTCTGTGCAGGTCTGAAAGGACCGAGGAAACACAGCCGAGGAAAGCTGCAACGTTACAACGTAGGTGCGCCTTTTGAACGTATCGCCTTTGACATCTTGGGACCTCTGCCACGAACTGCTGATGGCAACAAATACATACTCATTGTCATTGATTACTTCAGCAAATGACCTGAAGCGTACCCTATTCCTGACCAAGAGGCTGTCACAATAGCTGAGATGATGGTACAGCACTGGATTTCCAGGTTCGGAATGCCTCTGCAGTTACATTCTGATCAGGGAAGGAATTTTACCTCAGCAGTAATCAAAGAACTATGCAAATTACTTGGCATTCACAAAACTCAAACAATGCCATTACATCCCCAGTCGGACGGCATGGTAGAGAGGTTCAATCGAACCATCCTTAGTAACCTCTCATTAGTGGTTTCCAGAAACCAATAGGATTGGGACAAAAAATTACCACTGTTTTCGCTGGCTTACCACAGTGCTGTCCAGGAGACTACCGGATATTCCCTATCACAGATGCTCTTCAGTCATGACCTTCGTCTGCCTTGTGATCTCTTGTTTGGTAGCCCTCCGGATACTCCTTCATCGCCTGAGGAATATATTCAAGATCTCCGGGCCCGGTTTGAAGTGATGCACAACTTTGCACGAGAGCGAGTCAAATTGGAGATGGAGAAGATGAAGACTCGATATGACGCAAAAGCTACTGAACATCAATTCCACAAAGGAGACAAGGTATGGTTGTGGAATCCGACACGACGGAAGCGAATCTGTCCGAAATTACAGTCACCTTTGGATGGTTTGTACACATTCCTAAACAGGCTGAATGACATCGTGGTCCGGATCCGTAAGTCTTCAACTAAACCTCAAGTCGTTCATTAGGACAAGTTAGCTCATTACTATGGCCATAATACGTAGTGTAAATAATTGTAAATAGTGTAAGACCATGGTCCTTTTTGTTTCGAAATGTGCATTTAGTATTTGATTTGTATTCGACAGCATTTGATTTGTTTTATTTATTGCATTTATTGTTCATGTTGTTTATTATTGTAATGTAATGCTTATTATTGCATTTGATGACTTAGTTGTAAATTTGGCTTCCTGTCCAAGGGATTGTACTGCTGGGACGTGCAGTCCTTGGGGAAGGGAGCAGTGTTACAGATTTTGATATTTAAATAGTTAGCTAATTTTAGTAGAATTATAATTAAAATTGTTTTATTTTCCCTTACAATGCAGTAGCGCATGACGAGTTTTATAGAGAAAGCTACAGCCGAAAAAGTAAAAATACAACAGCACATGCATTTAACATTTAATAAATAAATATATTTTTTTTTTATTTCGATAAAATTCTCGTGCATGATTTAAATCTTATAAAAAGGAGGAAAACCTCTCAATTTAGTTGTTGTTATTTTAGTTAGCTTGTTGTTGTTTTAAGAGTTTGTTTTAGAAAACTGCTCTTGTTGACTGTAGTGAATTCTCAGATTAGCTTTCTCCAGCTGTTTTAAATTAAGTTTTCTTGAACGTTTGAGTAGTTAAAAGATAATTACTGTGAGATATTGTAATACTGAACAAATATTTGAGGAAATGTAAGCATATTTGTTGTGATAATAATAAATTTTGTTCATTTTTCATCGGACTTGTGCATTCATGTCGTAACGAACCCGTACGCATGCAACAATACTGTAAAATGACAGCAATTCATAATACTATAAAAGCTACTCTTATTGCCCACTAAAGAGCATTATTATATCAATTTTTTCAGGAAAAAAAATGGACACAAGTATTTTTCCCTTGGGTCTTACTACTTTCTTCTTAATAGTAACCATTTTAGGAACAAAGGTCAGTTGACAAAAAAGTGAGGTATGAGAATAAAAGCTCTTCTGGGCTAAAATATATATCTTAACACTGTACTGATAGGTCAAAAGATATGTTACTTTTAAAATATTTGTGATTTTGCTGTTGAATTTTATGCAGCATATGTGAAAAGAAATTGGTGTTTAATAATAAAGACAAAAACAGTTATATCCACAAGACTGTCTATAGAGCAGATAGATAAATTGCAAGATCAACAAGAGCATAGAAAACCTTAACAAACTTCTGGTGCAAAATAAAAATCTGAATCTTTCAGATTTTCCCCTCCCCTTCTAATTCTTTTTTATAACAAAAATTTTATACCATCACTGAAAATCATGGCCTTGACCAGTTAATACTTTCAATATGGAAAACATAATGCAGAAACGCTCTATATTGCCAGATAAAAAAATTTAGTAGTTATCTTTGCAAATGGACACATTTTTGTTTCATCATGTTGAACTAAACTGGTGTGCAAAACTTAAGTAACAATGTAAAAATTTAGCAGATAGCCATGAAATTGCAGAAAAGAAAGCCTGGAGATCCGTACAATGAACATGTAAGTCAGTAGAAAACGTCATGCGTATGGAAATATCAGGAACGAAACGTCAGAAGCGACGTGAGCGTACACAAAACGCGTGATGTCGGCGCATGCAGCTCAACAGTAGAATAAAAGGAAGGACGGAGACGCAATTCAACATATTCGCTGCAAGTGCCAGTGAGTCAGTTCATGAAATATGGCTAGAAGAAATTACCTGGACGACTTTACATGTGGAAGAATGATCGGAAAGCTGGAGGAGGCATGTACTGTCACCAGTGTAGCTGCAGAGTTTTGGAATCAACAAAAGTGTTGTTTCGCGTGCTTGGAAAGCATTCCAAACCACAGGTACAGCTGTTAGAAAGGTTGGTGGTGGCCGCCCGAGGACGACAACTGCAGGGGATGACCGATATATCGTCCTGCAGGCGAAAAGAGGCTGACAGCAGTCAGCAAGCACCATTGCTCAGCAACTCTGTATAGCAATGGGGCGACAAATGTTGCAGTTTACTGTGGCCAGACACCTTCACAAAGGGGGCCTATTCGCCCCACTGTCCTGAACGCTGCCTCCCGTTGAAAGTTGGCCACCGACACCACCGTTTACAGTAGTGCAGAGAGCACAAAAACTGGACAACTGGTCAATGGAGTCAAGTCCTCTTTAAGGATGAGAGTCGGTTCAATACCAGAAGCAATTCTCAATGCGTTTTAATTCGGAGAGAGGTCGCGACCCAGTTTTATCCCAGTAACATCAAATAAAGGCACCTTAACGGTGATCCTGGAGTTCTTGTCTGGGGAGGCATTATGGTGAATGGGCGAACTGAGCTCCACATTTTCGACAGAGGGTCTGTAACCGGGGATCGCTATTGTGAGGAGGTACTCCTTCCCCATGTGCATCTGTTCTGAGGTGCCCAGATTTAATTTTTATGGATAACAATGCACGGCCACATCGGACTCTTGTCATTGAGGAGCTACTGGAAAGTGAAGATATCACTCGAATGGATTGGCCAGCGTACTCCCCAGATTTAAATCCCATCGAAAATGTGTGGGATGCTTTGGGGAGATGCATTGCAGCCCGCTTACATCCTCCGGAGAACACCCAACAACTCAAACAGATGCTGATTGAAAAATGGGCACTCCTACTGCAAGAAATGTTGCTCCAGCTGGTTCTGAGTATGCGGAGACGGTGCGAAGCAACCATTGGAAGTTATGGGAGGGCATATTCCCATATTAAGGAACATCTGCTTGTTGTTCTTCTTTTTGGATAGACAATCATAAGTCACGATACTATGCGTTCAATAAAGCTTGTTTTTCTTTGATTCCATACCGTATGCATTGTATTCCTTTTTCAGCTCCGATGCTTTCGTCATCCTTTGCATACATCATACTCTCCTTCATTTCTGCATTTCATGTCTCTCAGTTGATTTCTCACGGAGTTATCGCAAAAAAAAAAAAAAAAAAACCTGCTGTTGCTTAAGTTTTGCACACCAGTGCAGATACATGCAGCTGTCCTTATTAAAATGAAACCTTTTTATAATTTGCATTAAGTCTCATTTTTCATTAGCCACAGCAATGAATTTTTTTCTGAAATATATACATCATTTTAATAAATAGGTTTTATTCAAAGAATATAGGCACTTGTATGATTGAAAGTGTAGAGTGGAAAATGCTCAAAACTTAAGAACAATCCCGTACTATAGAATATCATTTGTTTATAATTTAAATACAAAATAATTCTTAAATCATTGTTTTCAAGCCTCTTTTTTACTTAACTTTTTCTGTGCATTTTCTGATAACTAATAAAGAATTTATTTCTATTTTTAGAAGATCTATTAACAGTAGCTTTGTCAATAGTACAGTTATCTACCTCCCTCACCTACTATTAAAATTTTTAAAACTGAACTTCACTCCATACATTCTACGGAATCAGTGCTCTTAATTATCAAGCTAAAAAATTACAATCAATCAATTTCATTTTCAATAATAATAAATCTTCATACTTTGGTTCTTTACACTTCTTCATAATTTGCATGAACTCACAAAATTGTGCAGCTCCCAGTTTTGATTTAGCCAATTCAAGATAAGACAAAGCATCATTCACAGAGAGTTTGAATTTTTGTTGGCCTTCTATTAAAAGCTTCATAGCCTGAAAGTGATCAATCATAAGTTCAAATAATATTCATGTAGCAATAGCTAATTATTGGAAAGCATCAAATATGATTATAGTATTTGATTAAAATATTAAAGCCTGACTAAACAGTTTGATTCATTTGAATGAGCAAGCACAGAGTAAAGGTATTTTTCTACAATTCTATACTAAAAAATCTAAACTTGAGAAAAATAAATTTCATATTTGCTATATGGCATCTGTGATATTTTATTTGATAAAAATATGTCTGAACATACCTTCCTTGGAAGAATACTTATAACTTAATGTTATTAAAATAAACTTCGAAGCCCCATTTAACACTATCCATAAAAATGCTATTTTGGCACAGTGCAGTTGCCACAATGGCAGTAATCTCAGCATAATAACAATAAATGAACTTCTGCAAAATTTGATTTTTAACAAGACAACAGCTGTACATAAGATTTAAAATAGCATCACCAACACCAGATATTGCTTAACATACTGTAGTGACATATAACTACAGCTTGGAATAATAGTGACATATTATACAAACAGAAGAATTCCAATGTACTGTCCGTGTCCAAATACTTTTCTAACAGACTAGCTGAGTCATCACAGAAAAATAGGGATTAAACTCTATATTAATTCTTACTGTACACACAGATTAACAATGGAACTTGTTTAATTGTACATTCTATGTCCCTGTTAAATAAATGTTAAATCCTTATTTAATACTGCTTTGTTTTTTATTTTGCTTTATATCAAATTAAAAAAGAACAAAAAGCAAAGAACTCTAAATTTCATATAATATAAATGCATTAATAAATATCTTAGTACAGCTTCAATAGTTATCAATAAACAGATTATATAAAAAGCCTGCATTTAAATCTACATCAGTTATAAAAAAATATTTCTATGGATAGTGTGTTGTTGCTGCCATCACCGACAGGAAATAAAATTGTTACATATATGTAAAAATCTGGTTGCAACAAAAGTTTTCTGCCAAAAAAAAAAAAAAAAAAAAAGTTAAAAAAAAAAAAAAAAAAAAAAAAAAAAAAAAACACAAAAGCAGTACCTTTAGTGTGGGTAAGTAATTACCACCCAAATCTATGATTTTCTGCCAACGTTTTGGTAGTTGTTCAAAGCCTTCAACCCAGAAACTTGGTGCCCGCGAGTCCAAACACAGATCAACCTCATTTTGGATGCCCTGTGCAAAATGAAAGATAGCACCAGCAAGATGTAGCTGCACAAGTGAAAAAGGTCGATGTCCGAAGGAGCAATGTTGGAGCTATATGGTGGGAATGGCAAAAGATCTCATTGAAGGTCATACAGAGTCCAGCCAGTGAATGCAGACATATGTGGTCTTGCATTATCTAAATTGAGCATTAACTTCTTGCACCGAAACTTCTTTCTTTTTTTTTTTTTTTTTTCATAACCAGTCACTATCCGGTCAAGAATTTCGTCCTTGTGTTGTTATTTGAGCAGATTAGTGTAGGCCCGAACACATATGTCCTTATCTAGAGACAGCTTATGTGGCACACCCAGTGATTGAACTTGTATGTCAAGTTCATGCGACGCATAACGTGCCTAATGGAGATTGCACTAACATCTAACTCCTCGGCAAGCTTTTGAGTAGTTAAATACTGAAATTCTTCCACAAGTTCTCACCGGTGGGACTCATCAACATCAGTAGGCTGGCCAGAGCACTCTGCTTCTTGAATGTCATAGTCCTTGTTTTTGAACTTTTGGTACCAAGTCTTCACAGTGTCATATGATACAACATTAGCATCTAAAGCTGCACACATGATTTCGTGATGTTCTGTAACTCACTTTTTGCAACAGAACTGGAAGTAAATGATGGTTCTAATCTGGTAGCATGATAGTTCCATTTCAGACACCTTGTACTTAACTCTAACATATTTTTTTACAAATTTCACAACAAAGTGTTCTAAAGTTCTGTTTCTTTCAAATACCAACAATCGTTTGACAAAATATGATTAAACATGCCAACGTAAAATGTTTGTGCAAACAATATTTGCAATGGCGGAAAACTTCCAATAATTAAAATTCAGTGAAAAAAACTTTAACAAAATGAAAAAGAATGAAAAATAACTAATAATTATTCATACACTTTTCCTTTATTCTGAATATAAATTTTGCTACTCAACAAATATATAAGTTTTGCAGAGATGCTATAAATTGTAATCTATAACTGTAATCAACATTCTTAGTAAAAATTACAATATAACCTTGTTTGTTCCCATATGAGCAAGGCATGCATTAAACTGTGTGCAATAATGAGTATCAACATATTTCTCAGAAACTTGCTGTTGTTGCTCCAAATGGCTGAACACTTGCAAGTGAAAGCATTCATCAGAAATGACTAAAACCCAATCAATCATTCAGCTGTCTCACCATCAAAAGCATTTCACAGGGGCAAACAAATTATATACATGAGAATGGAAAGCTCAATCCCAATTTTGATGGAGAAATTAGATGGATCCAATAGTCTGCCACCCTCCTTCCCTACGAGTCTTTCAAGAAGAATTTTCATTTTAAGCATCTTATGCCGTACAGACACAATACATTTACAGACAACCAAGACTTCTCTGGAATTCACCCCTGGGCCCAATAATATAGCAACTACATTCACTAACTACTATACCAATCAGAGTAATGATTCCTTAGAAAGTATCAAAACTATTAAGCTGCCTCTTGAATATGTGAAAAATGAGTTAAAATAAGAAGGGAAAAAAAGAATACTACTTTTTTTTGTATATCTACATAGCTACAAAACACAGTACAAAGTCCTGACTTGTCAAACTTTGACATCTCTGGATCTGGGAATTTTCCGGATTTCAGATCATCAGTTTGAACCTAGTATGGCATACGTGACATGTAGAAATTATAAAATTAAAATTCTGAAATATGTGTCTATGAAATAATGAAGCATTTATGATATCTGGGGAATCAAAATTTACCCTCCCCCTCAAAAAAAAAAAAAAAAAAAAAAGCAAAAAACTTCAATGTTTATTTGTTTGCTTTATTAAACATTTCCTTTAAAGAAAGTTGTTAAGTTGGTTTGTGTTTTGTGCTAATACATTCTCTTTAATTTTAGAGACAAACATAATTTCTTGTATGGTTAAAAAGTACTATATTTACCGTGTTGAGAATTTTCACTACACTGTCAGTCGAAATTTTTTAATTCTCAACAATCTCTTTGTCAACTTCTTCACTATCAGTAAAAAAATTTTCAGGATTTGGAACCATACTACAGATTTTGAGGTCCGTTTGTTGACTGATTATTGGGGCATTGTAAACGCAATGAAATACTTCTATTATATCATCTTCAGTTATTGCCCCTTCTGTAATTTTTCATTATTCATTTATTGGAAAATTTTGTTTTTGTTTGCGATATCTGAAAACCTTCCAATTTGCAGCTAACATCTTAGTGAGCATCCTCTATATACTACTGCCAATGTATCATGAGACCAGCAACTAAAGACATGCTTTTCCACTAAAATTAATCTTGCTCCTATTGCCTACTGAGGAAATTAAGCCTGAATTACATTAGCTTTGTTATTTATTTTACTTACAACCCTTGGTACTTGCATACTACCCCATCAACTGGGCAAATAGCACAATTTAGAACTAATTATGGATGATCCTGTCTTTTTGAATTCCATAATAACGACCAAAATAGAAAATCTATTTTTAGAACTTTCTCTTAAATTTCTCCTCACCAACACACTTAACACTTTGCAACACAGTTGGCTTAAGTTTGTACTCATCATCAATCTAATATCAGCCTAACAGGTTACCATACTCTTGATATTCAACTACTGATATTTAAACAAAAATTGTTTCAGATATCCTTGCCTAAGCCATTTCTCAGACTGCTGTGAGTTAACAATTCTGAGGTGATGAAAGCAAAAATAAAAAAATTATTCGCCAGGTTGGAATATAGGTTATATAATATTCAGTAGGCATATAATCACTGATAAACCTTGATAGGATATTTTAATTTGAGATATACACTGGTTATCATAAATTAAGGAAAAATCACATAAATCACGATTACTGAAAAAGTTACATGTAGAATTTAATGAAACTTACCCGCAATATACAACACATAGTAAGGTATCAAATAACATAAAAAGAAATTACCAGACAAATATAGTAGTATAGAAATTAGCACATGTATAAAATGAACAAATCGAAGGTGTCAGTTTGCTATAGGAAAAGTACCTTCAATATGGAATATGATCGCCTCTAGAAGCAATACAGCACATACAGCGATGTGTAATGCTTTCAATTATGTGGTCTATCAGTTCCATAGGAAGCGAGAGCCATTGCTCTTGCAAAGCAGTTGCAAGCGCGACAAGGGTCTGAGGGGGCGGATTGAGACTAGCTAGATGTCTCCCTAAAGCATCCCAAATGTGCTCGACAGGATTCAAATCCGGGGATCGAGCTGGCCACTCTATGTGCATAATTGTTTCCTATTGAAGATAATCATCTACGGTGCGAGCCCTGAGGGGTCTTGCATTGTCGTCCTGTAACAGGAAAGCATCACCTATTGCCCCGGCATATGGGCGCACATAAACATCAAGGATGTCATCTCTATAAATCTGAGCATTCACGGTTCCCCTTGGAAAGACATGGAGGTCTGCATGTCCACCCAAAGAGATGCCACCCCAAACACAGACACTGCCCCTTCCGTATGCATCTCTTTCACGGATGTTTGACGGATGATAACGGGTTCTAGATTCTCTCCATATCAAATAACGCCTACTATCGCTTTCTAGACTAGACCTGGACTCATCCATAAAGAGAACCGCCCTTCATTGATCAGGCACCCAGTGGACATGTTGTCGTGCCCACTGCAAACGGTCCCTCCTATAGCATGACATGAGCAGCACACAAATGACTGGTTGCCTTGCATACAGACCACCTTCGTGAAGCCTTCTAGGCACAGTTGACGTTGAAATGAACCTTCCGGTGGTTGCAGCAAGGAA